GGCCCCGCCCATTGGCCGTTCCTCCTCCAGGTCCTTGCTGGAGCTCTGCGCAGATTCTACCACTCCTACCTCCAGACCAGCAAGTCCGGGTGGCCCGGGCCTGGGTCTGCACCTCCTGCCCCTCCCAGCGCAGGGCTTGGGTCCCCTCCAGGTTCTTCCTCCTCAGCCCTCCCTCTGCAGCAACCGGTTCCCGTCCTCCTCTAAACCCTCCTGGCTCTGAGCTCCAGAGCAGGTTTCAACTTCTCCCCACACCAGAGAGGTGACATGAGTTAGGGAGCACAGATTTTAAAACAAGATAGCCCGGGCAGTCGGAAAGCCCGGCAGCCAGGATGCTTTCGCGCATTTCTCCAAGTTGGGTCCTGGGGAAGGACTGACACGATGGCTAAAAATCAAGTCGGGAAGCAAGACAAGGAAAGCTGAGTGGTGCCATGGGACAATGCCCTGGGCCTTGAGAATGGGGTCAAAGCCCGATTCCCCGAGCTTACCTGGCCTTCAGGACCGGTCCCTCCTGCCAGGTAGGGCTTGATTCTTGAGGGGTCCGGAAAGGGAAGGTGCAAGCCAGATTTTGTTCCATTCCTAAACCTCTACCAACCCCTTGGCCCCGTTTTGTCATGGGGGTAGGACATTGGCAGACAGGTGGGGCACAAAGGGAGCCCACAGAGAAATATTCTGGAAACTGGGAGCAGAACCTGGTGTTCTCCTACAGCGCCCTTACATTACGGTCCTCTGCTGCATTAGACCTACCCCACCAGCGCAGGAGGGAGGGGGCCTTGTTGCTGCCCTCTCCTCTTTGGTCCAAATAAGCCAATAAGATGTCCCAGCTACCACCTCCTGAGGGTGATGAAGGGATAACCTATCTCCTCAAGACAGTCAGCTCCCGTTTTCCCAGCACCTCTGCACCCCCCAGAGCACCGGTTGCAGGTGGCCTGGGTCACCACACAGGCGCGACCACCAGGAGGCGCAAGGGTCTTGCCACCTTCACCCTACTCAGAGGGTACGATTCACCCCTCCCATCAGAAAAGCCTCAGAAAAGCGAGGAAACGGGTGCTTCAGCTGTTTATTGACACACAGGTAGGCTCTATAGCAACAGGCCTGGGGGCGGCTGCAGCAGTGGGGAAAGGGGGGGGTGGAGGGCGGAGGGTGGAGTGTTTGCCTGCAGCGACAGCTGAGTGTAGGAACAGAAGTGCACAACGCACACAAGGTGGGAGTGGGGGAGACTGAGGGGGGTGGAGAAGCAAGTGAGGGCCTGAGCCAGTCTCCTTAAAGTGGAACCGTGCCCTATGCTGCTACTCTTGCTGGCGGTCTCTTGACCGCAGGCCAGGGTTGGGAGTTCTCTGGTGCCCGTTTTCCATAGGTACCGAATGCAGTACGCAAAGGAGGATAAGCAGGAACTGTTGCCCTCCACGTTAAGCTCTGGGGCTTCCAGTCCTGCAGCCTTTCTTCGTCCCTTGCTTGGGTGAGGTCACATGATGTGCAACCCAGCTCTGGGTCACCTCACCCGAACAGGGTCCTAAAAAACAGTCATGTTTTACAGAGGCAT